ATCAGGGTGGGGGTCCCCACTGGGGTGCCTGGCCAGCCTGGGTGAGGGGATGATGGCTGTTTTCAGGCTGTCGGGGGACTGAAGCTCCCCACCGCTCCTTTTTTTCTTTTTTATTCTGGGCCAGCTTTAGCTGTGGCTCCCGCTCTGCGGCCTCTGCTGCTGGGAAAGTGGAAACCCTCGGGCCCAGACTTGTTTGTGTTCTACAATCAAAACTCTGTATCAACTCTAGCTCTGAGATCCTGGCTCGCTGAAAGCAGGTTTCTGTAGTTTTTTTTTAGCTTCTATATGTTACTATGTTTCAAGGAACATAGAATCTATTGCTCAGAGGCCTGCAGCGGCAGGCGCAGGCGGGGAACGTTGGAGTCCGCTGTCACTGAAGCAACCAAGCCTCATGTTCAGTTTAAGCTGCCTGGCTGCCGGCCGCCATCTTGGCTGTCAGTTAATTTGCATATCTCGCTGATTAGCCAATGGGAAGGGTAGCGGTCGTATGCCAATTACAATGTTTCTCTTTTATTAGTGTAGATGATGTAATAGTTAATGCATCAATTTGAAATCTTTCAGTTTCAAAAAATAAAAACCACCTCTAGCTATCTTAAGAAAAGAGGGTATCTACTGAAAGGATATCAGGGATCCATAGATTCTGCAGGAAGCTGAGGAAGGCTTAGAAAGAAACGCTTAGAAACCCAAGGAACTGCAGATGACCAAGAAGCTGGAGGCGCAATTGTTTTTTAGCATGAATAGGCTGAATGAAGATTGCTGCCTGAGGATACTAAGCAGAAATGAAATCTAACCATGTGTTTGGGGACACTGTCATCCTGAAATAAGACTTCCCACAATGGAAAGACCTCCTCCACTAAATTAAGAAGCTGCCACCGGTTGCAGGACAGCCAGGAAAAAAAATACAAAAATGTTCATCCTGAATACTAGCAGCCATTGTACTGAATACCAGGCATTAGGGCTTCAGGTGGTATCTCATTAATCCTCACAACCATCACGAGGAAAATAGTCTTATTACCATGTCTATTTTTATAGATGAGAAAACCAAATCTCTGTGAGGTTAATTCGCCTAAGGTTCCACAATCAACAGGTGGTAAAAAAAGAAATTCAAATCCAGAAAGTCTGATTCCAGAGGTTAGGTATACAGCTATTAGTTCCTCCAAGAGGAGGGGAAAGGTCACTCCATATCTGGCTAGATAAGGAAATACATTATCAAGAAGGCTTTTTGAATTGGATAGATTGGGTGGGTATCTATCTAGGCACTAGATATTTAGCTATCTTTAAAAAATGGGTAGATTTAAAAAATTTACACAATAAATACAAGAAAAACTAGACAATACAGTTAAGTAGAAAGTAATTTCTGTGATTTTGCAACCTAAGGATAACTAAGAGCAATATTTTGGTAATTAATATTCTTGGAATAGTCTTCGGGATTTTATCCTTTGGTCTATCCTATGTTGCAGACATTTCTTCCCAGGTTTTGTTTACTTTTTAACTTTGTGTAGTTTATTTTTAAATATCTAGGCACATTTTTGTCTTACAAAAACAGAACCATACTATTTTTGTTACGTATTCATTTGGGGGGGGGGAGGAAAGGAAGGAGGAAGGGTGGCAAGGAAGGGAGAGAGTAAATGAAAGAAGGGAAGTTGATTTTTTTAAATTGATTTTATTTTTTAGAGAGGGAGAGAGGAAGAGAAAGGGAGAAAGAGAAATATTGCTGTGAGAAACATTGATCTGCTGCCTCCTGCAGGTCCCTAACCAGGGATCAAGCCCTCAACCCAGGCGTGTGCCCTGACCAGAATCAAACTGGCGACCTCCTGGTGCCTGGGAGGACATTCAACCAAATGAGCTACACCGGCCAGGGCTCGCTGGTTGATTCTTATATATGCCCTGACCAGGGATCATATTCCAACCTTGGCATATTGGGACAGCACTCTTAACCAATTTAGCTACCCAGCCAGGGCAGAACCAGACTGTTTTAGTTAACCTGTTTTTTTCTGCCCAACAAGATATAGTATCTTCCCAAGTCAATAAGAATGTCTCTACAACAGTGGCTTTCAAATTGTATGGTCTTAGGATTATTTTATACTCTTTAAAAAGATTTTTTTTATTGATTTCCGAGAGGGAGAGAGAGATAGAAACATCAATGATGAGAGAACCATTGATTGGCTGCCTCCTGCACATCCCACACTGGGTATGGAGCCTGCAACCTGGGCATATGCCCTGACCAGGAATCGAACCATGACCTTGATTCATAGGATGATGCTCAATCACTGAGCCATGCCGGCTGGGCTATACTTTACTTTTGTTTATATTCACGTTACTTTTTATTTTTTTAGTACCTCACCCTTAAATTCATTAAAAATTATTTTTATGATTTGAAGATCTGACTTAATCTAATGCCAGAGTTTACTCTTTATTATTTTCTAAATGGAGCTTTATTATTTTCCTCTTTATTAAAAAATACATTTTAAAATGATGTTTTGCAAACAACTTAAAACTACAGATGAAGCTAAAGTAGCTCTTGACCACCTTACTCTCCTTCCGGTTTTCAGAGCAAACTACCATTTGTTCTCTTCCCTTTCAGGATGTTTCCTTCGCATTTAAATTTATGTAAGCCTAAATAAAAAGTTTGTGGCTACTTGACTGCTTTTCCCCCCTCCTCCCTTGTTATCTTGATCTTTCTACATAGATCTACCTTGTTTTTCTTTTTTGTTTGTTTGCTTTTTACTTTTATTGCTTAAAGTATTACAAAGGGTATTACATATGTCTCCTTTTTTCCCCCGTCCTTGACAATCTCCTGGCCTCCCCTACCCCCCAGTGTCTTCTGTCCATTGTACCTTGTTCTTTTTAAGAGATGCATGGTGTTCCATAATGCAGGTTACCATGTTAATTGTATCTTCCCTCTACCGATGAATAGGTTCCCAATTTTTCGCGATTTCTTCCCTACCACCCCCCAAAACGCTCGGGCCTGAGTTTCACTGTGCGCATGCGCAAGTGCCTACGGGTTACCTTCCTAACGACGTGATGGCTTCGAGTCCTTTTTCATTCTGATGGGCTCCCGGGAACCGCAGCAGGTACGTTGAGAGACAACACACACCTACACCAACGACCCGGCCAGGAGACCCTGGCCCCGGCTTTTTTTTCCCCCTTTCACAACGGACGCCGATTTTTAAAATTTTATTATTATTATTTTTTTTACCTCGTAGAGGCAACAGTTCCCAGCACCAAAACGACACACAACGTCCAGCCACCGAGCTCTACGACTAAGAAAGTAGGGAAGGAAGACCCTCGCGCCGCGAGAACCGTGACGCCTGCTTCCGGGAAGCGCACCGGAAGCCGCTGTTCGATTCTGCGTCAAATTCGACTCCAGGGGCCGTCGTAAAAGTGTCGTCCCGCGCCTGTGGAACCGGCCACAGGTCTCCGCTCGCCTCCGGCCGGGGGTCTGCAGCTGCAGGCGTCGGTTCCCCTTAAGATGGCGGACGAGGAGGCCAGGGACGTGGAGAGGATGGAAGTCGGCCCGGACTTGCCCCAGACCCCGCAGGGACTGGCATCTGTAAGTCCTCGCGGGCCGGTGCCTTTTGTACCCCCCGTGCCTCCCTGCGGCGCTTCGGAGGATGTGGGGGCTGCACGGCTCATGGCGGCTCCGGGGAGGGGGAGTCGTCGGGATGGATGTGGAAGGCAGCCACCCAATAAGAAGTCATCCCTCGCCCACCTTCCTGCTGGCGGGGTCCGCGGAGTAGAATGCCCCTGTCATTTATTAGCGGCGACGAGCTTCAGCATGTCTCCGTCCTGACGGGGAGGGAACTGGTGCTGGTGGTAGCTGGTCTGTGGCGTCGGGGGCTGCGGCGGGCTGGGAAGAAGAGCCATTTTCCCGTAGACGCAGCGTTCACCCCACCTTTGACGACTGGAATCCGGGTGCAGCACCTGCTGTTGGGTTGATAGCTGACGGGGCGGAGACCGACAGGGCCAGGGTGTGTGCTGCCCCTGTCCACTCATGTCAGCTCGGGGCTGCAGGGAAAGATACGAGGTGTAGCAATTGGAGTCCTTGGGCCCCGGATCTGGAGAACCCCGGGCCTCATCCTCAATGGAGGAGCCCGTCTTCCGTCGCTGCTTTTGCAAGGTGGAAAAGGGACTTCCAGACATCTCCAGCCAGAGAAATACCATGAATGAATATCGGGATCTATAGGTGGAAAGAATGGGAAGGCAAGAGAGAGTGAGCAAATTAGAGCCCATCGCCTGGCTGCAGAGAGAAAGCTGACAGAGGTTAGGGTAGGAGGTAACATTAGGTAATAGTCTGGATGTCTAGTGGGGAGATACGTAGGGAATATTCAAATAATTGGTTGTGGCATGATGGTGACTTTTATCAGGTGGTGTTTCTTCTTGTATGCAGGAAAGTGTAGGCTATACACCTCTTCCTGCAGTTGCTTTGGTTTGTAGTTTTAGTGGAAGCTTTCTTGGACTCTTTTAATATCGCAGACACTTGAGCATTGTTTTATGAGAGAACAGAGCGAACTCCAGAAATAAGAGTCCACCCCAAGGACTGGCCAGTTTGGCTGGGAGATAGAAACCAGGTAGGGAGGGAGTTGGAATAAGGGTTGGGCCATCCAGCTGTGGCAGTGCTTGCAGCTATCCCCTATCCCAAATAGTTATTCAGCCTCACTTCACTGCTGGTACGGAAGGAGGGAGCATCTATCTGAGATAATAAGAAATGAAAAGAGGGGAAAAGTTTGGAAGCAGTTGTAAACATCTGGTTTCAATGGTAGCTTGTGCTTTGTACATCTTAAGAGGTAATGGAGAAACTGCGTGCTGTGGGCAGAAGTGTCACTGTAAGTGTTACTTTGTATTGCTAAAGATGAGTGTTTATTTAAAGCTTTGATGTATTTCTTCCAAGTAGTATAGTAAAATCTCATCAACCTGGACTTCACTTATTTGGGATTGGAGATAATGGTACAGGAATCGAGCTAGAGTTACGTTGCAAACTCTACTTCAAGAAATGTTAGATTTCATTGTAAGGCTTTGGATTTTGCAAAGTAGCAGGTAGATTCCAAGAGAGGTGCAAAAGCTTCAGGGAAGTCACAGTCCAGTGGCACAGATAAGACAAGCGCTCAAATGATTTTAATACAAGATAGGGTGATATAAGTGGATGAAGACTTGTGACGGTTAAGCCTCATGGTCACTTTTTTTGGCTTGGATTTCTCTACTTGAGGATCCCAGATAGCATCTTACTTTCCTTGTATTTTTAAATCTACTATCTTTAATTTTATCCTAACTGGAGTAAGATTCTGGCTTTCCAGATTACTTTTTCTTTGCTATGAAGCAAAACAAGCTCAACGATTCTTTGACATTTGAATAATTTGTATTTTAAATCAACATTGGGAGGCAGGTAAAACAAAAATAATAAATATGGGAGTGTTGCAGAGGTTTAAGAACTCTTACCAACTCCACTAGAGTTTTGTTTGTGGTTATAGTTCTTGCTATCCTTAAGTCAAACTTCCTTCTTAGTTCCTTGGTCATTTTTCTGTCATGTTGCTATCAACATGTATGAAGGCTATCAAATTCTTAATATCACCTAACACAATTATAGTGAGATAATAGGTATGAATTATTGGACATTTATAAAAGCCATTGCTTGATAATGATTAGGGTAATTGATTCTGTAGATCAGCATTCCTTACTAATTTTGAAGTCCTGGTCTTGAGGGCCACACATTGAGTAAGACTAAGCTAGACATTTGGAAGTTCTCGGTACAGACTTAACATTGTGGGGAGGGATAAGATCTTTGAGGAGGAAAGTGTGTGTGTATGTGTATATGCGTATATAGGAACATACATACAGAGAGACAGACGGACATGGAGTAAGACAGGGTCAAGCGGGGGGAAGGGAGAGAGAGAGGAGGAGGCGGAACAGGAATGGTTGAATTTCAGGGGCAGAAGATGGAGGAAAAACCAGGGAAGGACCTAGAAAGGGAGTAGCCAAGCAGAGTGTAGTGTCTAGAAGAGGATGGTTTACTAGGTCCAGGAAGATGAGAACTGAGAAAAATTGGAAATTCAGATAGTATATGGGGTGGTCTAACACAGCTTTTACCTTCTGTCTTCTTCAACTGGACTTTCATAAGTCCATCTCAGAAGATTTTCCTGGCGTGGTACTTTTCTTTTTCCTGTCTACACCCTCTGCCTGTGTGATTTATTTTGTTCTATGGCTATAAATACCACCTGTATGCATTCAGTTCCCAAATTTAGGTCATCTCACTTCTGAGCTCCAGAATCACAAATCCAACTACCTACTTGACATATCCACTTGGATGTCTAAGTGTTTCAAATAGGGGAGCAATTAGGAAGCCACTACAGTGACTTATCCAAGCCATAGGTGATGGTGGCTTGTACAAGAGAGATGACTGGAGATGGAAAGCAGAGGTTGGATTCGAGAGAGAATTTGAAAGTATGGCAGAAACAAAAAGATTTGCTTGTGGATTGAGCATGAGGCAAGAGGGAAGAAACAGATGACATCTGGATCCCCAGTGTTTGGCTTAAGCATTCATGGCCATAGTTGTGTCATATACTGAGGAATGACCAGATTTTGGGAGGGGGAAACAGGGAGGCAGATCAAGAGTTTTGTTATTCCTGTCTCAGTAGATGACACTTCCATAATAGCTCTTGAACACAAACAATTCTGTCTCCACTCCACCTCTCTAGTCATAGTCACCATCTATTGCTAGGCAACTGCAGTGGCCTCCTAACTGGCTTCATTGCTTCCATTTTGCCCTGTTCCAGTCCATTCTCCTCTTAGCAACCAGAGTAAATCTTTTTAAGACTAAATCATATTCATGTCAGTTTCCTGCCTAAATTCTTTGGTGATTTTTCATTGTGTTTGGAATAAAATCTAAATGCATTACAAGTCATTCAAGATCCCGCCTGATCGGTCTCTACATGTCCTCTAATTTCTTGTTAGTTTTTTCTCTCAATTTTAGCCACCTGACCTGTTAGTTTCTAAAACAAGCCCATGCTGTATCTTGCTTCAGGGCCTATGCCTTTGCTTGCTGTTTTTTTTGCCCCCTCCTTAGAGTATTTTTCTTCTGTTTTTTCTTGATACCCTGTCTAAAAGATGGGTTCCTCTTACTCTTTGTCAAAGTATCCTGTTTATTTCTTCCACTGTACTTATTTCAATCTGTAATTACTGTATTATCTTTATTTGCTTATTTAAATGTCTGTCTTTCCTGCCAGAATGTAAGCTCCATGAAGGCAAGGATCATGTCTCACTGTATACTGACTGATATATACCAGCATGTGCTTGATATAGCAGACATTTACATACTCTTAGTGAATAAATGAGGATCAACATTAGTGATTTATTTTAGCAAGAATGGCAGTGATTGGGGGAAGGAGGACAGAAGTAGGGAGCATATTGGGTTAATGGCTAACCTTGGAGTCCAGACTGAACAGGGAGCTAAGGAAAGCAAAGGGAATTGGTGGGATTTAAGGTATTAAAGTTATGATGTTGACATAAGTTGAAGGACTGAATGTTATGGTCAGAAAGAGGAAATTTGGAGTTTTAGAACATGGAGGCACATAAGGTGCTTGTGATGGCACAGCCAGGTTTAGATGTGCCTCTATGTTCCTATAGCATCCTTTTCATACTCTTGTATATAGCATATCTCAGGCTCTACTCATAAATACCTATTTACTGTCTATCTTTTGTTCTAGATAATAAACTCCTTGATAATACAAACTGTTTCCTGTTCACATCAGTATCTCCACTACCTACAACATTGATTCAGAATTGTTATTGAATATATGAATGAATGAATGAATGAGGAGACACTAGCTGAGGTAGAGTGGAGGTGAAGGAAATAGGAGTTGAGAAGATTAAGAGTTTATAAGGCTGAAAAGTTTAAAATTGAATAGGGAGGATTTAAAACATTTTTTTTATTGATTTTTTTTTTTTTTTTTTTTTTTTACAGAGAATGGAAGGGAGAGGGATAGAGAAATAGAAACATCGATGAGAGAGAAACACACCCCCTACTGGGGATTGAGCCTGAAACCTGGGCATGTGCCCTGATCAGGAATCAAACCTAACTGGTGACCTCCTGTTTCATGGGTTGATGCTCAACCACTGAGCAACACCAGCTGGGTATTGTTTTACTTTCTTATTTATTGATTTATCCTCACCTGAGGATATTTTTTTCATTGCTTTTTAGAGAGAATGGAAAGGAGGGAGGGGGAGAGAGACAGAGGGGAGAGAGAGAGAGAGAAACATTGATGTGAGAGAGCCATGTTAATTGGTTGCCACCTGCACATACAAGTGCATATGCGACTGAGGACCGGGGATAAAACCTGCAACCTAGGTAGGTACATGCCCTTGACTAGGAATTGAACCCGAGACCCTTTGGTGCTCAGGCTGATGCTCTATCCACTGAGCCATGCTGGCAGGGCAAATAAGAGATCATATATATATGTGTGTGTGTGTGTGTGTGTGTGTGTGTGTGTGTGTGTATAAATTTAAATTCTTTATTGTTGGAAAATAGGGAGGATTTTTAAAAAATATTATTGAGGCCTC